CTTGCGCGTGTTCTGGGCCCTCTCAGAGCCATCTTGGACCATCTCAGGCGTGGCCGCGACGCGGCGAACGCTGGAGGTGTATGAGCAATGCTCGGGGCTTCTGGCACTCGCCTAATGGATTTTGAATTCCGCATCGGGCTCCGCATTGCGATCGGCAGCTGATGCGGTTGCGAATCACAATTTCCTCGTGCTCAAATTTTGGGCGGTAGCAAGGCCGCAGTGAATTCCGCATTGCGTTCCCTTCCTGATGCGGAATTAACAATGGAATCAGCGTTGCGCCCCGTTCGCGAGGCGGAATCTCTACTGCGTTGGCGCACTTCCGCCCTGCGCGGATTGCGCCGTGACTGCGTGGGTCGTCCGCGCCAGCGGCGCAGCATCGCTGCCGATCGAGGCCCAGCCAGCGACGCGCAGAGCAGCGACGCGCAGAGCAGGGTTTTGTAGGAGGAACAGCTGACGATCAAAGAGAGACACGTGAATGCGACGAGTGGGAACGTCGTTTCCAGCGACATGAAGGCGAAAGACCAACCCGAGTTCAAACAGAAATACGAGCAATGCCTGAAACATGAGCAACGCCATCGTTTTGCACAAATGTATCGCGCGGCGCCGCCTGGCCAGAAACCGAAGCAATCCCCGCACAAAAGACGAATCATCGCTGCTCGCGTGCCGGTGGCGCCCTTGTCGCTGTCGCTCCTGCGCAGCGTAGGGGGCGCAGCGACGCGGGCGACGCCCGCGCACGGATAGCGACTTGTCGGCGGGTGGAAACGGACTATCCCACATGGGCCCAATGGAATGCGCAAGCCGCAATGGCCTCGTGATCCAGATGGCCCACGTCACCGGCGCGGGCCGCACGTGGCGCGGGGGCCGCGGGGCCCCGCTGGAACCCCCCCCCCCTGCAACTCGGCCCCGCGCCGACTAGCCGAGCAGCCCGGGGGCCAACCAACCCGCCAACCAACCAACCATCCAACCATCCAACCATCCAACCAATCAACCAATCAACCAACTAATCGGAGCCTCATGTGCGCAGATATCTTCTGGGCACGTCCTGCAGTGAGTGTTTGAATGGGTGCGTAATAGCCTGTGGCGACTGAGCGTTCTCTTGCGGCGGCCCTTGCACCTCCGCAGCGCCGCCGCGGGCGTGGGATTCCAAAATAAAAAACCACAAGCGCCAGAAGCAATGCTTCTCTGAATGCGCCCCCGCGATCAAGCCGGTGACGGGCACGTGTAACGCCCCATGGCGGCTCCCCCACCTAGCGCGTCTCGTTGATGCGTATTGTGTATATCTATAGATGTGCACACATGTACGTTTGTGGAATGAACGCGTTCAACCTCAGTCGCCCTGCGCCTCGCCCTACGGGTTCAGCATTTTGCAGGTGGCGGTCTACCCTAGATTGCTCTTTTACTTGCCGTGCCTCGTCGACCCGCCTGGGCGGCCTCGCCGTGCGTTCCCCTACTTAAAATGCCCAATCAGCCCTCACTGACGGCTTCGCGGCTGGCGCCCTTGCATTCCGCGCGCTGGGCCTCGTCGTCGACCGCGGGCGCGCCAGCATCGCGGCCCGGCAGCTGCCGCGCCCCCGCTGCCGAGGCTGGCCGCCCAAGCGCGCCCGCGACGGAATTCTTTCGCCTCAGATCGCCCCCTCTTCCTCTTCTTCCTCCTCCGCGCCCGCCCCGTCTGGCTCAGCCCCCTCTCCCGCGCGCCGGGCAGTTCGCCCCTCGGCAACTAACCGCGCATGGCCTGGCCGCTGGCCCAGCGGCTGTGCGTCGCCGCCGACGAGAGAATATTCAGCCTCAGCGCCAGCGGTTCTGAGCGCGGGCGGGTCTGAGCGCGAGGGGGCGCGAGCGCGGCTGCGTCCGAGCATGGGCGGCAAGTCGGAGCACGCGTGAATCTGGGCACTCGCGGGGCTGAAGACTGTGATCTGAACACGGGCGACATGAATACGAGCAAATCTGAACATGAATGAACGGTGGCTGAACGCCTCGCGCGCACGCGCGAGCAAGGGGGGGCCAGCTGCTTCGGGGCGCGAGAGGAGCAGCGCCCCCCTCGCTGGCAATTCGTCGCCGAGGCGTCTGATTGCAGCGCCGGCCACGTCGCGGCGATCGCGCCCCCCCCCCCGCCCCCCACCCCCCCGCAAAAGGCGACGCCCATCCGCAGGACGAGCAAGCCGCCGAACGCATCCCCACGACATCCGCGCGATGCAGAAAACGCCATACATCCCGCCGATCTGTCCCCGGGGCGATATGGCGCCGCGCCCGCTATGTCGCGGCGGCCGCGCGGCTGTTCAGCCGGGGGAAAAAACTGACCCGATATGCGCGCAAACCGATGGCGACATCCCACGCAACGCGGGCGCGAGCGGGCACGGCCCCGATCTTGGGATGACCGAGTGCCACGCCCGCCTTGCCGCGTCGACCACGCTGCCCTCAAGGGGGCAGAGTGTGTCCCGCACCGCGGGCAGACCGCCGCAGACCTGGCAGTTCCTTGTAGGGGTGCCCAAATGGGGCCCTTGCTATAGCGCGCTGTTCCGCCTATCTCACAATAGAACTGCATGTTCTGCCAAGCGCAGAAACAGCGTGGAACGTCCTCGCAATGGGATCGCGAACGGACGCGCGCCCCACCCTGCGGCGGCTGTTCCTGGGGGGGCCAAACTGCCGCGCATTCGCGCGCCCGTCAAAACATATGGGTGCGTTCCACCAAACGACCGTTCCCAGGCGGCACTTCCTCGGGGCACCGCGCGGCTACGCCTGTAGCATCCCGGCGAGCCTAATGCCCGGTACAGTTGCATCGCAAGTCAAAGTGTCGTGGGCATCCTTCACACGGGCGCTCTCTGACCAGACATCGACGGGGGGGTCGATGAGTTGTTTGGGCGGTTTGGGGGGCGGGGCGGAGCGGGGGGGGTGGGGGGCGACGCGTGACATTCAGAGCGCGTGTTTGGCGCGCGTTGGCATGCGTTCGCGCTTTCGCGCAGCCGCAGTCAAGATGTTCGGGGAAAGGCCAATGACCGCTGCAACGCTGAAGGGGCCGAATGGCCGCGCATCAGTCAAAGCCTTTTCGGCGCAGGCGGAGGAATAACGGATTTGAGCCGCCGCCCCCCGGGGGGGCTTCGCTGGATCTCCCCGCGGGGGCGCGAAGCGTGCCGACAGGCCCAAACAAATAGTCAAATGATAAGGAGGAGGAGGTGGAGGTGGAGGAGGAGGAGGAGGAGGAGCAGGGAGGAGGGAGGAGGGGGGAAAGGGGAAGGGGGGGGGGAGGGAGGAGGGGGGGGGGGGGGGGAGGGGGGGGGAGGAGGGGGGGGGGGGGGTGGGGAGGAGGAGGCGCAGGAGGGAGGGGGGGGGGGGGAGGAGGAGGGGGGGAGGAGGAGGAGGAGGAGGCAGGAAATGACAGGAGGGGGTTTCGGAGGACGAGGGGGCGAAGGGGGGGGAAGGGGGGGGGGAGGAGGGCGAGGAGGGAGTGGACGAGGAGGAGGAGGTGGAGCAGGAGGAGGTCCCCCCTCCCCCCTCCTCCCTCGTCCTCGTCCTCGTCCTTTTCCTCATCCCTCCATATCCTGTTCCTCTCCTCCTCCTCCCTCCTCCTCCTCTCCTCCTCCCCCTCCTCCTCCTTCTCCTCCTCCTCCTCGTCCTCTCCTCCTCCCCCCGCGGCCCCCCCCCCCCCCCGCCGCTTCCCCCGCCCTCTCCCCCATCGCTGATCACCCTCGGGATCGGCGTCCTTCTTGTGATGGTGCACCCTGCATCCAACGTAGGGCGGCCCAAATCGCCCGATGACACCTGGAGATAGAACTGCCGCCAGACTGGCGACGAGCAACTCGCCAGCGCCACTCGCACTAAGCTCTCCTCCGCGACATCGCATGGGAAAAATTCGCATGCGTCGATGTCGTCGCGGACCTCTTGGCCAACTCGACCGAGTCCCAGTCCGTGATCTCACGAGGTAGCTTGCCGCCGCGCGGCCCCATGCCAATGTCCTGCAACATTGGGCACTTGTGCGAGGCATTGGCGACCGCGCCGTCCAAGGGGGTCTCGAAGCTCACGACAGTGTTCCACTCGACGCGGTGCGTCGCCATCGGTGCCATGCCCCTGCGCTCCTCCTCCTGGAGTTCCTTCTTGCGGCGCTTGATGTCGCTCAAGGGCGGGTCGCTTGGGCTCGGCCGCGGCTGCCCCTTATTTTCCGGCGAGGGCTTTATCATCCAGGCTGCGCAGAAGTCGCCCCCGCTCGTAGCTCAAGTGAGCGGATCCGCCCAAATACAGACGAGGCATCGATGCGTCCGCTGGCTTCAACGGCAAGCATGTAGATTTTCGGAAGGGAGGCTGCCGTGAGCTCGCCCACCACTCGGCCCCAAAACACGAGAGGAACAGCGTCAGCACCAGGGCCCCCCTCCACGTCGTAGATCTTCTTGGGGTTGCCCTTCTTGCCGACCGCCTCCGTAACAACAGCCCTGATGTTGCAGACAGCCTGCTCAGCGACGCTTGAACGGCACGCCGCGCGCAAGAAGTGCGCGTTGGCCGCGCTGATCAGTAGCTTTCTCTCGCGCGACGCCATCGGCCTCAAGTCGGCGCACGAAGTGGACATCTTCTCGTCATCCCTGCAAGCCAACATCAGCAACGCCGTCGTCATCCCCAAATCGACTGGCGCATTGGCCACCAGGGCGCCCTTGCCAGGCCCCGCGAGCACGCCTGCGCCCTTGCCAGTCGCGGACGTCGCGGCCGCTGCGGCCCCGTTCTTCGCCGAGAAACTTGCAACACTGCGTCCGACGGGTTTGAAAGGGTGCGGCTGGCCTCATCGACGGCTGGAAGCTGTCGGTCGCACTCCTTTGGGGGGAGGGGGGGGGGGGGGCCTTTTGCGCCCGGGGCCCGCGGCCGCCTTCCCTCGCCCTCCCCGTTCTTTCCTCGTCGCCCCAAAGGCCGCAGGAGGGGGGCGAGAAACAGCGGGGCGACGAATGGAAGACGTGGGTCTCGGGGTGCAATCGGCGCCCCACTGGGGCCCCGTCCTTCATGCAATCTGCGACGACTTGCGCCTTGAGCTGCGGGGAGATGCAAGTTCTCGGGGATCTCGATGGGCTGCTGCAAAGACGGCCCGATGATCGCCAACAGGTCGGCGGCCTTGTTGAACTTCATGAAGCTCGCGCGGAAGACGTTCTTCTCCTCCTCGTACTTCTTGCCGTCGTCCTCCAAGCAGCGCGCGTGCATGCCCAGAGCCACGCTGCTGAACTCCATGAAGAAGTCGGAGAATGTCTTCGCAGACGTGTCGAACGCGCCAAAGAGAGACTTCAGCTCTCCGGTCGGCGCCCACGTTTCGTCGCCGTCGGCGCCGTGCCTGGCCGAGCTCTCCTTGGCCTTGGAAACGCAGGTCCTCCATTACCTGCTGGATCATGGGCGGAAGCCAGGGCGTCGGGGTCGCGACGGGCCCCTCCTGCCTCAAGTAGGTCTGCTGCCCCAAACCCTCGATTACATAGGTCAACATCCGCACGCGAATCACGAAGAAGAGCCTGCGCGCCGGACGGTTCAACTTGGCAGATCTGGCGACCTCGGGGCCCAACTCTTCGTGTCCTCCACTGATAACCTTCTCGTAGACACGGAGGGCGTGGGACCGCGCGCTAGGCGCTGATAGGTTGAGGTTCATTGCTGCTGCTGTGGACATCGCCCCTGCGCCATCTGCCGCGTCTTTGACGATGCCCTTGCACTCGGATAGCTGGCCGAATAATGACATCATGGTTTGGCTCATCACCGTGGCGACCGCTGGCTGGGTCGCGAGCGCGCGCCGGGGCTTCTGCGCGTCGAAGTACGAGACGGCGCTGGCAAGCAGATCCTTGCACGGGCCGAGGAGGTCGTTGAGCGCGTCCCTGGCGACAGCGCGGCGCTCGCCCATGTCGCTGCCAGCTGAGGCGCCGATCGCGCCAAGCACATCGGCAACCGAAAGGCCCTTGAAGTCGTCGTCCGAAGGGCGGGGCGCCACTTGTGCAATTCTATCGCATTCTGCCTTCATGGCAAGACCCAGCTACAACAGCGAGACGACCTTTTTCACCTTCCCATGAATGCTGAGCTCGACTGACCCCTCCATGATACCAACAATGCCAATTGCCTGAACGCTTGGGTTACTTTGTATTGGGTAGGTTCCATCTCGAACATGCCTTCAAATATTCCTGACAAGTACGTCAAAGGCGTGCGATCCTCGATGGCCTCGCTAATGTCTTCCTTGCCAATAGCGGGCAGGGCTCGCCCACGGCCACCCCCCGTCTTTTTCCCGACGTCTCCCCCGTCTTCCCCGATGTCACCCTCCCTTTTGCATTGGCGCCCACGGCCTTGAATGTGGTCTTCTGGGTCGCGCTCACCCCGTCATTCTTGGCAGGGGGCGTTGCCTTCTTCCCCGCGCATTATCTTAGTTGTCTCGTCGTCTTCTAGTGGTGCAGCGAGCATGTCGTCTCTGTCTTCGCGTTCCCGGCGGCCTGCCTTCAACGTCTCGGCACCCTTCATCTTCGCTACCAAGCGCGCCAGACCTACATCCATGGAATTCTTGATGGCAGGGCTCGGTAGACCTCCTGGAAAAATGGAGCAAACCCCAGCTGGCTCAACGAGCGGCACACACATCATGACAATGTCGGTGAACCGCCCTGTGTTGCTAGTCCTGAGCACCTTCCAAGCCTGGTAAAAGTTATGGGAGTGGACCGAGTGGTTCTTCATCTCAGGCTGCATGAAGTCTGCCTTCTCCTGCGTTGCGGCCTTCAAGTGCTGCCACACTGTCAACGTGTCCTCGCTGCCGAATGGACGCGCAGTCGTCGCCTCAGTCTGCTTGTATACGATATTGCAAAGGTTGTGTAGTCCTGATAGTCCTTCCAGCGTTTCTGGTACTTGTTGTTCACGATCTCGAACTTCTGCTTGTTGTGCTCGCTGATGCCCCCGAGGCCCTCTACTGTCCAGCTCGGATTATTGTGATTTGCTGCGGCCCAAGCCAGCTCCACCTCGTGCGTGCTGGCGATCGTCTCGATGACCTCGGGCCGGTCACCTCGTCGTTGGTGATGTTACCGAGGTGCTTAAGGGCGTCTCATGGCGTTCGCCAGTGGTACCTCTTCGAATGCTTCACTGATGTGCACAATGAAAGCTGGACCACGCGGTTCGTCTTGTCTGCCCCCATCGCAAGTTTCGCGCCGTCCAGCACCGTGCCCCAGCGCATGGCGCCCCGCAGGCCAGCTGGGCGAAGCGCCCACTTCTCGCCCGCGAACTGCTCGGGCGGGGGGTCCACGAAGAAAGGCCCCAGCCGTTGAGCTTGGATGCCAATGGCCTCGACGCTGCGCTTCAAAGCTAAGATGCTACCCTTATCTCCACGATCGTTGGCTGGGTGCCTCGTCGAAGTGAGAAGTGAACGTGCAACTCTGATCAACGATGTCGAAGTCGAAGTCCGCGTCGACGCAGCACATGGCATCGAGCGCCGAGGAAACCTCCAAGTCCGTCATAACCTGCCCGCCGATGCGATCCTTGAAATGGGCGCACTCGTCATCGAACTTCGACTCGTGCGGTAGTCCTGGCGGGGGGGCCACAGGAGCGCCTGGGTGCACTTTGGACTGCTTGGGCGGCGTCGCCGCCCTTGGGCCCTCGGCCCCCAGGCGAGGCGCAACCGACCTCGCAAGGCCGCGCAGAGCCCAAAATGGCCGCGGAGGGAGGTGAGCCAGAAGCCAATCCCCGACAGGGCCCTGCGCGAGAATGATTCGACGCCCCCTTCAGACGCAACGAATCACTTGTCGATCGAAGCCCCCCCGCCCCACCATGTTTCGGGCGGGCTGAGAGGCCTACATATGCCGAGCCTATCCCGTCGTTGCGAAAGAAATTCGAAACGCACTGTATCGGTTCAAAGGTCCCCCTGACCACAACGACCACCCATTGCGAATGCGATTAGCGAGCCGATCTGTCCACGTTCAGACAGAGGTCACACAAGAAACGTTTAGCACATACAATTGGAAACATGAGTTGCACACGAAGGCCTGCCTGGGCCATGAAACCGGCTGGATTGTCAAATGTCGTTAGCAACGCACCCTTCGTCACATGGTTTACTAACGTTGTTGTTAAAACTACATGAGCCTTGCAAATATCATTAAAAGCCGCATCCTAAATTAGACCCGCAACGAGGCCTACAACGATGACGCAACTTTGTATTCCAAGGGCCCTGCTCGCATTGATGAGCTGCGTGAGAGGGGTAGCGAAACGCCCTCCTCCTCGTCCTCCCTCCCCCGTCCTACTCCTCGTCCTCCTCATCCTCCTCCATCTCCCCCTCCTCCTCCTAATGCTCCCCCCCCCCCCGGCCCGTCGCGTCGGGGGGGGGGGGCGCCGGGCGCCCTCGGCATGACTGACCTCGGCGCCCCGCCAATCGAGGCAGATCTCGCCGTGGGCCTCCATCGAGACCCTCCCCCCCTCCTCCCTCCTCCTTCTCCTTCTCCCCATCTTCCCCCTTCTCCCCCTCCTCCTCATGTAGCTCGAACCCGCCAATTTGCTCGTTCGAGCTTGCTTGACTGAAACGCCTCTTGTAGTCGAGCAAATTCCCTTACTCCTTTAATCAGCGGGTTGCGCATGCTCGTCCTTTCTCCTGCTCGCTCTCTTTGCTCGTCTGTTGCTCTGCGCACTCTGTTCGACGCGGTCCTGCCTCGCCCGCCCCCCCCCCCCCCCCCTCTCCTCCTCATCATGCCCCTCATCCGATGCGCTGCTCCTCGCCATCATCATCCTCGCCCTCCCCGCCCCCCCCCCCATCGAGGACAAATCGAATTTACCTCATGCTGTAACCTCAAGGGCAGTCAGCGACGCAGACAGGGCGCGCGAACGAGTTCGGGGACAATGCAACGCCTGCAGGCGAGAAATCGCGCGCGCACTGGTCGCGCCAGGCCGAAGCGCACGATGAACACACAATTCTATCACATTGGTGAGGAGTCGGCCTGGGGGCCTTCATTTGCAAACAAGACTCGCACGCGATGCGCTCGCGACGACAGGCCAATGGGCCAGGGAAGCGCTTCGCTTGGCAAATGCGCCACGACAAGACGCACCACCCTGGCACTGCATCGCGAAACCTGGCTGACGCTTTGTCCATATCGGCTGGCGCGTGACCGACGACAAACGCAGCTCCTGCAATGGGCTCTTCGGGGGCCCAGCCGGGCACTGAGTATATCATGCGATTCAAGTGGTCCAGTCTGACAGGCCGCCCGCGAAAACCTGCTGCGCTTGTCCAGAAGACAACTGCATCGAGCGCGTCTGTCTGCACTAGCGACAACTCGCCTGACGATGGAGGTCGGCAGTGGCTGGGTTCAGCCGACGTCATCGGTCCTCGCAGCTGCGGCGCACGCAGCTCTCTGCGCCTGCACGTTGGCAGCCGCGAGGCTAACTGCATCGGCCCCGGCCCAATCTACCGCGCGAGAAAAAAGGAATCCTGGCGGCGTCGTCGCCATCCCCCCTCACTGTTGTGTCATCATGACGCTCCGATTCCTCGTCGGGGTCGCGGAAGGGATCGGCCGCCACCGTGTCGACATCATCTCCATCGCGGCAGGCGCCGTCAGACACCTCGACGTCGAGGATGTCGTCGTCCATGCGCTCTTCAAGCATCACCTCGAGGAGCCCCTCGAAATCCAAGACCTGACAGGCGCCCGCGCCCACTCCATCGGCGCCGCGCCGTGCCGCGACGCGTTGCCGAAGAGGCGCGTGCGCATGCTCGTCCACAACAAGAACGCCCAGCTGAAAATTCGGGAAGCATCGCCGCGCAGGACACGACGCCCAGATGCACGTCTCATCGAGGCTCTCCTTAGCGAGTTCGCATAGCAGATCGTGCAAGTACTCCCCGACAAGAGGGCAATCGCGAACGCACTCCCAGCGACCACTTCCCAACTGGATTGCGCACCTTGCGCCCGTGATTGCCCGACCAAAAGCGCATCCAAGTGCGTGCGCTACAGAGCCATCGCAGAGCAAGGCGTGCCTGTCAGGGCCTGCGCCGCGCCGAGGTAAAAACCAGCGCACGAACGAGGCGCCGACGTGCAGCTCGTTGTAGATGTCGAGCACGTACCCAGGCGCGAACTTTTCGAGGCGGTCTCGGCGATGGCGACACTGGCGGATGCCGAACCCCTTCGGGTGCCCGCGCCCGCTGGCCACTCCGACCACTTCAGGCACCATCGGGGTGAAGCGAGACGGGTACGCTGGCGCGCGTATCATCTAGTCAACCTTTGCGTCCAATCGGACGCACTCCTCTGGTGAAATGGGAGCCCCTAGTTTCAATGACGTTCTGCTCGTTGCGGCGGGAATGTGCAAATTCCGCCCCTTGTTCCCCAGGTGCTGAAGTACCGATATATCACCTTCCACTTCGTGCGCATCCATGCCCAGTTGACCACGCACTCCCAACGCACATCCGAATAGGTTGACTGGGCAACAACATGTACCCCTGACAACAGCGAACACATCGCTCCATGTGCTTGACTTTCGCAATGATGTCACTTGACCTGTCCATGAGACAGCAGTCGTCATTCTCGCCGAGAGCCACTGCGACTTGTTGGCGCCTCTCGCACACGACGTCGGGCGAAGAAGCAGATATGGGAACCAACAAAGGACCCTGATGAAGCCAACCACAAGCAGCCTTCAAGGATGCGGATATGATGAGGTCGACGCACTCTGGTTGCAAGTCGCCAGGGCAATGCTTCCACACTGCCCCAGCGGCATTCGTCGAGCAATGCGCCCTCGTCCAAGAGGTCCGCAAGTTGCTTGTCCACGCTGGCCACGTTCCAGCTCACGAACTCGCTCATGGGCGCTTTGCCTACGCATGCGCAGTCGCGCTCGAGCGCGTCTTTCAGCAAAACCCGACATGCTTTATCTATCTTTTCAGCCCAATACAGCCAAGTCACAATCGGCTTCTTTGCTGT